TCTGACGTCTCTCTTGCCTCCTGAAGAAACAAAGTATTAATAAAAATACAATAATTGGCCAGCGCACCGACTGTCAGTATGAAGATGAGTTTCTTGCATAGTTCCTCGAAGATTTTTGTCGCTAACGGCACCGGTTTTTCCAGCAGTTGCTTCTAGCTAAAAGAATTGAAACTGGTCGCAAGGACTGTCAAAAAAAACACCCACTTAAGATTTCAGCTTTCTAGCTTTACTGGTTCCCAAGTTAGCAACCTACCCGCAAAAAACATTCACGGGCCTGTACTTGGGGACCACGTAGGTAAGAGTGTCCATTTTGGAGATGAGGGCCCGTATTTGCATGTGGATTAAGTTCCCAAAGTTTCAGCTTTTGTAGGTCTTGTGATGAAAAATGACTAACACAAAGACACACATATACACAGACAACCCTTCGACAGTATGCGTTTTTGCATTGCATAGATGCAAAAAAAAGACGCACAAAAACGTGGGCTCCGGGCAACTTAGCGGGCAAAATGACCCACCTTCACATCTGCCAATTTTGCTCGGTTAGGATATTTAAATTACACCTTGCCTTTTCGGGATGTGACATTAACCTATATTTGGATCTAAAATTACATCTCAAAACACAGGAAAATCTGAAAAGTGGGATCAAGTTTCATACATCCAAAAACAAAGACGGTATTTTTGAAATTATTTTTTTGCTCAAGATGCCACTTTAGAGCTACGTTTATTAGTTTTTTTCGTCCCGCAGTTCAGTTATCTGATAGATATTCAAAAATGCAATTGCGCAAAAGTTTTTTGAGAAATGTGCAAAAAATGCAAACATTCGAATTTGTTGCAAAATAAATTTGAAAAAATTCTCGCAAGTTCTGGAACAAAAAATGAACAAGCAATGGCAACATGGACTCAAATTTGAATATTTTATGGTTATGAAAAAGGTTGTAACTAAAAAGTAATAAGTAAAAATAAAAAAAAAAACTTGCAAATATCAAACGATGAGCAAAAAATGAGGTGGAATTGTGCAGTAGAAAAGATGTCGCGAAAATATGAAACCTCCAAGTTTATCTTAAAATAGTTAGCGATCGTAAGCTACGTACATGAAAATAGATATATAAACGAATAAACTTAACCTTCAAACTTTTACAGTGTCATCTAAAAATCCTATTGGAATTCATAAAAAATGATAAAAACCGAACAAACCTAGTAAAATTAATGCTTGGAAGCAATGAGAGCGCGATGCGTCCTCCTTTTTTACTTCCCCTTCGTGCTTTAACATCACTATCGATGCCA